TAGCCCCTCCCCCGTGCCCCCCTGACCAGTTTGGTTGGGGGGAGGGTGGGACCTGCTTTAGCTGGATAGGTGTATAACTTTCCAAGTCACCTTTCCTGGCTTCCATCACACAACTATGGTCACCAGAGTTTCCACCAGATTTCCAGCTGCCCTTCAGGAAGTGGTACCAAGAAACACAGCTATCTGCCCACATCCAATGTCCTCCAGTCTTCATGCAGAGTTAGTCCTATTGTTCTGATCATATTGGCTGATCAGGGAGGTTCATCATGTCTGAGAAAGGGTGTACCTGCCTGTGTGCATTGTGTGTATGTAATAGGTACGTAAGTGTGTGCACAGGTGAGTCCTTGCATGACACCTGCGTAGTGTGGGTGCTGTGAATAAAACAGGCCATGTGTGGGAGTCAAGATGGTGTAGGGTGTGAATCTACCCGGCAAATCCCTGGGCCTTGCTAACACATCCCCAGTCTGAGTTCGCTTCTCCTATACTTCTCCCCTGTGCTGTGCATTCTGGGAATCCTATACTTGGTCTTTTTGAAGGCAATTCCCAAACACAGAAATGTATCACACAGACTTAAAATTTTAAACATTATTTGTATAAAGGAACAAATTTGTAAAAATCATTTGAACACAGTAAACATTTATGAAAAGTGAGACCTTTGTGGTTTTTATACAATGATCCTATTAAATCACTTCAGGACCCCTCTCCCTTCCCTTATTTTATATTCTTCTTTTGGTAAAGAGACAAGGTTGTTTTCTGCTCATCAGTCAGCAGTAATAAAACACAGTTGCTGAGTTGGCTAAGGACATTCTGAATTCTGACCTCTTCAATACAATAACGTTTTTGCATGACTAAGTCTGTACAATTTGTTCCAAAACATTACCCTGATCCATACCTGGCTTGTCATCTTAAGCCTTGTCTTCTTGGTTTGTGGACAGGATCTTGTACAATGTTATCATTGCAGGTTGGATAAAAATACAAATGACCACTGCAGAGATGTAGTCTGAAAAATGACAGCTGGCCAGATCTTGGGTTCCTGTGACAGTTGTACATCAGATCTGTGGAGACAAGGAACATCAATACATCTGCAAACTTTACAGCTAAGATCAGAACCGTTTCCTCCAAAGTTTATCAAGGTTGCTTGTCCTTTACTGTGTACTTGTGGTATTAAAACTTTGAGACAAATTAAATTTGGCAAAGGTTAATTGACCCTAAAGAGCAATTAGCCAATGAAGCAGCCCTCAGAACCAGCAGAATTTCAAAGTCTATTCTACTACTGGGGCAGGAAACTTTTAAACACAGAAAATGGTGGTGAGGCACAAAAAAAAAAAAAAAACAGCAGCTGATTGTTTCCAAATGATGTTTGCCTTAAATGGGCATGGTCTATTGGGTTGGTAGTTTGTGATTGGCTGGAGCTAATTGGTACTGCTATTGGCTGAGATACACTTCTTTGGTTATTGCTATTGGCTGAGACTCAGTTCTTCCACTATTGCTATTGGCTGAGACTCAGCACTTAGAGTGCTGCTATTGGCTACGATTCAGCCTTTTGCTAGAGGAGAATGCTGCATGTTGTAGTTCCTTCTGTAGGGATTCAAAGTACAGAGGTGGCATCCAGTTAAACTTAGTTTAATTAAACAGCTGGTGGATATCAGCTTTAGAACCACAGTGGACCAGAAATTTTTGTCACTTGTTGGACTTTGTGAGCTCTTCTACACTCCAAGTACCTCCCCTCTTTACTACATCTCCCAAGACCTGTCTTCATGTTTTTAAACACATGGCTAAAGATGACAGAAAAGCCAGAAGAAGGAATTTAAATAATATATGACACAAACATTTTTCAATACTTTGGGACCTATTAGCACTACCAGAAGTCGAAGGTGTGTGACAAAGAGGCATTTTCCTTTTTTTCTGATACCCCTATTTTAAATGTTCAAAAAATCAAGTGAAATAGAATGTTACATGTACAATACCAGATACAATTCAGATGTGCAACCAACTCCAAAATTACTTAAATGAATACATATTTTAAATTTATTACTACTACTATTATTGCTGTTGTTGTTGTTGTTTTACTGATTCTGGGGCTTGAGCTCAGGGCCTGAACACTACCCCTGAACTTTGTGCTCAAGGCTGGTGCTCTACCATTTGAGCCAGGATTTGTCATTTTGTTTGTATTCCAGCATTCAGAGAAGAGTGTAACAGTAGGTTTTCAGTAAATGGCTGTTGAATGGATGCCTGATTAGTTAGGAGAAATAGATAAGGGGTGGGGGCAGTTGGACAAGAGAAGCTCATTAGTACAAATGTGTGTTTTTATTCAACACGACTCATGTTTTTCCTCTTTTGAGAAGAGCAGTTTTGTTTTCAAGAACTCACATAGAATAACATTAGGCTAAGGATTTCTGGACTGCCTTGGGATTTGTTTTAATGAATAGATGGAAATTGTATCTAATTAGCATTATTTTTTAATGTGCACATGGGCACATCTAAATTGTATAAAAGCAGTTCTCTTGAATAATTTAAACAACTCTTTCTCCTGCAAGACAATTGGCACACTGGTCCCTCAGAGATTTCTGTTAGTGGGAGCTGGAATCATGGGATTTAAAGGCAAAAATGAATGAGGTTTCCCTGCTCAGAAACAAGCTGGCTTAAGAATCCCTGGGGCTAGCCCCAGGGCTAGCTGGAGGCTCTCACCTGTCATCCTAGCTACTCAGGAGGCTGAGATCTGAGGATCGAGGTTCAAAGCCAGCCTGAGCAGGAAAGTCCGTGAGACTCTTATCTCCAATAAACCACCAGAAAACTGGAAGTGGCGCTGTAGCTCAAGTGGTAGAGCGCTCGCCTTGAGCTGAAGAGCTGAGGGACAAGCGCCCAGGCCCAGAGTTCAAGCCCCACGACCGACCAAAAAAAAAAAAAAAGAATCTCACAGATTTTTTTCCTGCTTGGGCTGGCTTTGTACCACCACCCTCAGATCTCAGCTTGCTGAGCAATAGGATTACAGGGGTGAGCCACCAGCACCCGGATTTGCCTGCCCATCCCTTAAACTGAAATTGCCATCTCCTCTTTTCTATTGAGTCTTTCCAAAGGACTCCAGGTCTCATGGAAGCCCGTCATTCATTCTCACCTAGAGCTGTCGAACATTGGGAGCATGGCAGCATTTGAAAGCATTGAAGCTAACTCTTTAGCCATCTTTTACAAATAGCACTAAGAATCAGTGCCACGTGGGGGAGGGAACACCAGGAATTGACTGAATTCCCCAAGGACCAAGGATCAAGACATGTCCAGACACACAACAAACCCTCAGGAAATACTGGAGCCATGGGTGAGGAGCTGCAGTGTCTATGCTTCTGGCAGGTTAGAATTGTATTTCATGAGGTTGGGGGAGCCACAGAGTCCCTCCCAGGGTAGAAGCTGAAAGTAGTAAGGGTCCCGGACCCCTAAAGAGGACACAATGCCATCTGCTGACTTTATGGAATCCCTGCTAGCCGTCACGCTGCAGGGGACATGTCTCTGAGCTCAGCAAGACACGTGGAGGTAGAAATACTAGCAAGAGCAACACACACAAAACGGTTCTGCAACATTGGAAATGAAATTGCTTCAAGGAGGGGCAGTTCTTGAATTCTAGGTGGGGGGAAACATTGTACCCTTGTAGAGTAGACTTGGAAACAGAACCCTGAAGTCAGTTGAGAAAGCCCACAACACGATTGCAAAAGAAGAGTCTTTATTAGTTTGATTCTTGGCATGCAAAAATAAATAAGCAAATAAATAAATAAACAATCCCAAAGCAAATGCAGTCACTTTGTGGAAAACACATTCATTCCTCAGACGTCTAAGTTGCGTCTGCAGAGAGTGATGATGGATCTTCTCTGGTTACGCCTGCACGTGGGGTTCATGCACACTGACGTACGAACGCTTCCAGATCATTTTACCCGCATCTGCACACATTTATGTGTGGCTGTTAAGAAGACACCTGCAGTTCTGACAGTTGTATGTGCTCAGCCATAACTACTCCATGCTTTCCTCTTGAATTCTAAGAGCTTTTAAAATCTTAATTTAATTTAAAAAAATCTTCTAGTCATCTATGATCTCTCTGCTCTCTTTTCTTGCCTTACAAAGAGGTGGGGGTAGGGAAAGCAAAGAGGCTGAGGTCCAAATTCAGGGTCAACTATTTCTTTTCTTTCCTTTTTTTTAAGGGTCTGTTTTATTTGTTTGTTTTGAGGGTAATTCAGGGCTTTGAGTTCAGCTGGCTTCTTATAAAACTGGTGCTCTACCACTTGAACCATGCCTTCTACCCCCTTTCTTAGGTCTTTTAAAATTCAGGATTCAGCCATCACAAATATATGGCAGTTCTGTCATCAAAGTATCCAGTGTGCACTCAGCCTTGTGGGTAAAACCAACAATGCCAGTAACACTTAAGTTCACATTTTTGTGTAAGGCCACCCCATCCCTAAGGATATCAGGCCATAAAAACAACTACATCATAAAATGTTAAATAAGGAATAAATTAATAAATACATAAATTACTTAAATATTTAAATAACATAAGATCAGTGGCCACAACAGCTCTGAAAAAAAAAATAAAACCTCTCCATTTAAAAAAAGAAATCAGTTCCTGGGTCAGTGGGTGTTACAGTACCTACAGATGAAAAATTATATTAATGATAGCATTATGGTCCTAAAACTGGTCTTGAAAAAGGAAACCAGATAGAAAATTGCTTTTTTTTTTGCATCTCTTCAGTCGTGTGTGTGTGTGTGTGTGTGTGTGTGTGTGTGCAATATCTTCCATTTTTTTCCCTCTGAAGATGCAGCCTGGGGATTAGAATTGGAACCTGAAAAGAATATTAAAAGTCCATGTGTTGTTAGGCATCAAAGCAGTATCTGTTCACAAATGCATGCAAGTTCCTTCACGCGCACACACACACCCTTTCCCACTCCGCCTCCATTCTTAGCCCTCCACCTTGGACTACGGGATGTGCAGATCTGGGCTGAGCTTCTCAGGAGCTGCTTACCTAAGCGCAAGATACAGAGGCCCACTCGCTCCAAGATGAGCTGTAGTAGCGGTCCTGGGCTTGCACCTGGACCTGGGCATCCTTGGAGCAGGAGACTCTAGCTGAGGTTTTGTCAGTGGAGATTGTCTGCAAATGAGAAGGGACTCTGTGACAGGAGCACACTGGTGCCACCTCCTGGCAGAAGCTCTAAACACAGCAGTGTCGGACCTACCACAGCTACCTGGCTTCAGTCCCTCCAGGACCTGTTCCCCTAGATATCCAGCAATCAATCCCAGGCCTTGATCCTGTCAGTGCACAGACTTCCCTCCAAATCCTGGCTCTGCTCACTTACTGGCTGTGAGACTTCAGGTTCTCTGTGTCCTTTCTCATATATCAGTAGGTGTACCAACCACACCTGCCTCCCGGCATTGCAAATGTTCACGGTAATCGTTACATAGAAGCACTCTTAGCAAATGTTAGTGCAGAAAAAGCACTCCGTATTTTTACCTGTTTTTGTGTGTGTGTGTGTGTGTGTGTATGTGTTGGCCCCAGGAGCCTGACTCATGCTCATAAAATTTAGTGCAAAGACTTCTGGTCCACCCTACTAGAGCCAGAGGTGTGGTTAGGTGGAAGGGCTTGTGTTTGTAGGCTTGAGTCTGTGCCCTGGTCCTGTCACTACCTAGCTGGGTGAGCATGGGCAGGATATCAACCTCTGTGAACTTTTGACTGTCTTCATTTATGAAAAGGTGATCACAATGCTGGCTGTCTTCAGAGGGTTCCTTCTGTAGCTTCAGTGAGTGACACGTGGAAAGCCTTACACAGATCCAGGCACATGGAAGTTATTATCATCCTCTCTCTGTCTCTGTCTCTGTCTCAGTCTCAGTCTCTGTCTCTCTCTCTCTCGTGCATACGCACATGCGTGTGCTGTGTCAGTCCTGGGTCTTGAACTAAAGGCGTAGGCATTGCCCATGAGGTTCTTTTATTAATTTGCTCAAGGCTAGCACTCTACCACTTGAGCCACAGATCCACTTCCAGCTTTTCAATGGTTCATTGGAGATAAGACTCTCATGGACTTTTCTGGGCTGGCTTTGAGCCACGATCCTCAGGTCTCAGCCTCCTACCTCATAGCTAGGAGCTACCAGCGCCCGCCGGTCTGTCTTCTCTTTACTGGGGCCTGCATCACCCTCAGCACAGAACACACCGCACCTGCATCCCAGCTTACCTTCTCTTTTCCGTTCTTCGTGTCCTGGACCCGAACTAAGAATTTCAGGGAGAAGTAGGAGTGGGGGGTGCTCCAGGAATCGGGGTACTCCCAGCTGACCTCCACCTGCTGAGAGCCCTTCAGTGGCTTCAGCTGCAGGTTCTTGGGTGGATCAGGTTTAACTGCGGGAAGGAACCAACACATCGTTGACCTGGGTAGTAGGAAGGGAAAAGCGTAGCAAAGCACCTGCGTTCAGGGTAGGTGGGAACAGAGCTGAGATCTGGGGGACACGAAGATGACAGTATGGATGTCATCATCTAGGGGGTGCAGAATAAACAAATGCATGTTAACCCTTGACCCCGGAGCCCTGGGGCTTTGGGGAGATGGGACCCATGGAGTCTTTCCTTAGGAAGCACCTCCATCCTCCACCCACCCATCCCAAACTCACTGATGTCTCTGATGAAGAAGCTGGCGGTGTAGTTCTCGTACTTGAATCTGTGCACCACCTCCAGCACCAGCTCCACAGGCAGCCTCTCCTCGGCGGTGGGGCAGGCACTGTCCTCCTGGCAGTCCACCCAGTACTTGGGGAACTCTCTATTCTTCACTTTGCCCTTCTCTGCAGAGAGGGTCGCCACCCCACACGTCACTTGGCGAGGGTCGGAGGGGCTGAAGTCAAACACACGCAGGACCGCTCACAAGGGAGTTTACACAGGTGACCAGATCTTTGCCGTGCTACATTCTTTCTCTCGTGAGCATTTTTATCTTCCAGTTGGAAAAATACCAGCAGGGGTGGCTCACGCCTGTCATCCTAGCTACTCAGGAGGCTGAGATCTGAGGATTGTGGTTCAAAGCCACCCCGGGCAGGAAAATCCATGAGACTCTCACCTCCAAGGAACCACCAGAAAACCAGAAGTGGTGCTGTGGTTCAAGTGGGAGAGCACCCACCTTGAGCTGAAGAGCTGAGGGACGGCACCCAGGCTCAGAGGTCAAGCTCCACAATCGACAAAAATAAATTAAAAAGAAAGAAAGGAGATTGTTTCCCCCTTCTCGTGAATTTTTATAAGGCCATTGCTGGTTTGCCCTGCTTCTCCTCCACAGGATACAAGTTACATGGAATGCTGGGAAACCAGCAAAACTGACTCACCCTCTGCTGCTCTTGAGGGTGAACTTCAGGCTGGTGGTGACGTCTGTCAGCCACCAGCAAGTGAAACGTCCGGAATAATTCCTCGCCTCGCATTTTAGAAAAGTCTTGTTCTTGGGTTCTGGATTTGGAAAGAAGAAAGCAAAAATCCACATCCACCCATGAAGTAGCACACAGATGCCTTGCTTCCACTGGGAGTGTCCAAACAGATAGTTGCTTTTGTTCAGAGGGTGCCACTGGACACCCCCATGCTCAGGGAGAAGTATGGCTTTCCGAAACCATCGCCCAGTACTCGGAGACCCTCTATCCACATTGGTTAAAGTGTTAAAACCAACGTTATTGGAAGTCTAACCGCCAGTGGTATCTCTGTTGCTTAAAGACAACTTTGGGACAAACATTCAGGCCAACTCTCACCAGGAGAGAGTTGGCTGATACCTCAAGGGTTTCAGGAAAGCAAAAAATAATTTAAAAGGGAGGTCCTGGATAATTTCAGACAGGGATTGGCGGTTCATGCAGTAACTACTCTAACCATGTCTTGCATTTTCCCTTTCCTTCCTTCCTTCCTTCCTTCCTTCCTTCCTTCCTTCCTTCCTTCCTTCCTTCCTTCCTTCCTTCCTTCCTTTCTTTCTTCCTCTTTCTTCCTTTCTCTCTCTCTTTCATTCCAGTCCTGGGACTTGAACTCACAGCCTGGACACTATCCCTGGGCGTTTTTTTTTTTCTTTTCTCCAGACTAGCACCCTGCCCTTTAGCTACAGCTCCACTTCTGGCTTTTTTTTTTTTTTTGCTGGTTTATTAGAGGTAAGAGTCTCACTGACTTTCCTGCCAGGGCTGGCTTTGAACCACATGTGGACCATGCGTGTACCATGTGTGTACCCTAGGTGAATCATCCGTGTGTATCTTCGATGATGGGAAAGCTATGACCCCAAGGGAGTGGAATTACCTTTCTGGTCCTTTAAAATATCAGTGGACCAGATTCCATTCTCCTTTTTGTGAAGCAGCAGCGTGGAGTGGCCCAAAACCTCACTTCCTTTGTGGCAGGTGTAGTGTCCAGTGCTTCGAAACTCTTTGACTTGGACGGTGAGGCTCTTGCCCGTGCCCACGACCTCATCTGACCTCTTCCAGATGATGCCATCTTCTTCCTCCGTGTCACAAGTGAGGACCACCGTCTCTCCAGGGACATCCAGGTACCAGTCCGACTCTACAACGTAGACTGGGGAGCACAGGGTTGGAGGACAGAATGGTGAGCGCCAGGAACCTTATTGACTGCGTGTGAATCTCACCCGGGGCTCCTCCCTGGCTCAAGGTCTTAGACCAGAGAAGCCTCCAGTTTTACAACTATCACTGAGTCATTTGCCCACGGGGCTGCCTTCAATAATTAACCTTTAGGAAAGGCACAGGGAGAAGACCTAAATGCATAGCCATAAGTCAGTAAATAAATAAATAAAATGACAAGATTGTAAGATTCCCTGGGCAAGGTCTGGGAGACAGAACTTTCCAGCACAGTTTTCAGATTTGTAGGGATAAGGCAGGCTATCTTATTTAGCAGTATTTAGATCAATGCCAATGTTTAGTGGTTCAGCAAGCGGTAAGGTGTGGGGAAGGATGTCTAGGACTGAGATCCTGCTTCCTCTGGGGGACTAGGGGACTTAGAGCGAGGTTTAGGAAGCCTAAGTCTGCGCAGGTGCAGTTACAGCAGCAGGATCTAGGCTGTAGGTCTGTCTGTGAGGAATGAGCGGTGAAGGATGTTTGTTATTACTGTGATTCATAGACCAGAGCCAACCAACTGAATCAAAACACTCTTAAATTTTTTTTTCTCTCCATGGGGGCTGGGAAGGTGGCTGAGTGGTAAAGTGCTTGCCTAGCATGCATGAAGCCTGGGTTTGATTCCTCAGTACCACATATACAGAAAAAGCCAGAAGTGGTGCTGTGGCACAAGTGGTAGCACGCTAGCCTTGAGCAAAAGAAGCTCAGGGACAGTCAAGCTTTCCTCCATGGGCCAGGCATTGTGACTCACACCTAGAATCCTAGCTACTCAAGGGGACTGAGATCTGAAGATGGTGGTTCAAAGCCATCCCAGACAGGAAAGTCTGTGAGAACTCTCTGTCCAATAAACCAGCAAAAGGCAAAAAGTACAGGCATGGCTTAAGTAGTAGTGCACCAGCCTTGAATGAAAAAGCCAAGTAAGAACATGGAGCTCTGGGTTCAATCCCAGGACAAAAAAAAAAAAATCCCAATGGGGATTTAAGGAACTAGCTCCTTCTGCATGAAACAAACCAATGGAGATTAGTTTTTAAAGTTATCTTGCCCAAAACCACCATAATCATCGTCACTCGCTGGAATTTCTATGGTTTAGCAAGAAGTAACAAAGGGGTTAAACATGCAGGGCCTGAGGTTCCGGAGCACACTAAGAAATAAACCACTAAATTAAAAAGGAAAGAATTCCAAGGTTGAGAACATCTGCATAGTCACCTGTCCTATATGCAAGGGAGCATCTAAAAAGTCTCAGATGTTTGCAGGGTTAGGGAGGGGGATGGCTGGGCTGTTGAATTTCTGAAGGTCTGAGGAGGGAAAGAACAATCACAGCTGTCTTTCACTCAACTATTTCAGTATTGTTTTCTCCTGACCATTTAAAAAGGTCATTTTTGAGCCACGTGTTGGTGGCTCACACCTGTAATCCTAGGGAGCTGAGATTTGAGAATTGTGCCTCAAAGCCAAGGAGGAAAGTCTGTGATACCCTTATCTCCAATTAACCAGCAGAAAACCGGAAGTGGCGCTGTGGCGCAAAGTGGTCTAGCGCTAGCCTTGAACAAAAAGCAAGCTCAGGGACAGTGGCCAGGCCCCTGCATTCAAGCTCTTTGACTGACAAAAGAAAACAAAAAGATTATTTCTGATTATTAGCTGAAATCATTTCATCTTTAAATTTGTGCCTCTTTTTTTCCTCTTGCTTAGCTCCCTAAAATACAGGAAACATCTGTCTCACATCCTTGTAATATCTTAGAACACTTAAGCCTCTAGATTAAATCCCTGTTCCACCCTTCCCGGGTATGTAACACTTGGGCAAGTTACCTAATCTCCTGAGTCTTGACTTTCCATATTTCAGGTACAACTGACACTCAAGTCATTCCGTATTTATTTAAGTCTGAAATTAGAAGGATAGAGACCCCATGTTCTACTAATATCTGTTCTGTCAGTCTACTAATAATTGTCATTATTCACTGGGAAAATAAATAGCCCAGAAACATTAAACAACCTAAATACTAGTACTAGCTAACATTTACTTTTGCTTTACTGTGATTTGAGTATTCTTATTCTTATTCTTTTTTGTATGTGCCAGTCCTGGGGCTTGAACTTAGGGCCTGAATGCTGCTCCTGAGCTTTTGTGCTCAAGGCTAGCTAGCATTCTCCCTTGAGTGACACCTCCACTTCCAGCTTATTTTAATTTATTATCATTATCATTATTATTAGTTTGGTGTTTAATTGGAGGTAAGAGTCTCACAGGCTTTCCTGCCTGGGCTGGCTTTGAACCATGATCTTCAGATCTTAGCTTCCTAAGTAGTTAGGATTACAGGTGTGAGCCAGGGGCACCTGGCTTGTTCTGAGTATTCTAATGCATTCTTCTGTATTCATTAACACATTTAATAACCCACTTTTGAAGTTCTAGTTTCAGTAGAGGAAACCGAGGCTCAGAAGTGACCCAGCTCAAGGTTATAGAACTGGTAACTAGCAGAAGCAGGACTTGAACCCAAGTCAGCAGAATCTCAATCCAGTGCTTTCTTCTAGCTGCTCGTCACCATCCCGGGGTGTGGCGGAGGGGAAGAGGCCCTGCTCAATTCCTACGCTTCACAACATGAATTCCATGAAGGACTGGTTTTTGGCATTACTGGCAAAGACTCTTCTCCCAACACCATGCACAAATGGCACCTTTTCTAGCATCCAATGGGAAAAGTAACCAATGGAGCTGCCCTGGGAGAAGGAGATGCCATCCGCATCTTCCCAGAGCGATGGCTCTCACGAGGAGACCCCCAGGCAGCCTCCCCCACTCAGCCAGCTTCCCAAACATGGGCACTGGGTGCCCTGCCTTCACCCCTGGACCTCCCCAGAGGAGACGACGAGACCAATTACCATCTTTCTCCAGTTCCCATAGGGCCAGGAGAGGAGATGCCAGCAAAACCAGGGAAAACCAGGAGAAGGCCAGCTGCTGGTGACACATCTGTAATGAGGGGAGAAATGGGGGCAGGGGTGAGGGGGAAGCAAAGGAAAAGGAGAGAGAAAAAGGATAAAGAAGAAAAAAGAGGAGGGGAGGAGGGAAGGAAGGAAGGACGAAGGAAGGAAGGAAGGAGAAAAAGGAGGAGGGAAGAGAAGAAAAGGAGGAGAGAGGAGAAGAAAAAGAGAAGAAAAAGGAAGAAAGGAAGGAAGGATTCAAAAGAGGAGAAGGAGGAGAGGAAGAGGAGGTAAAAGAAAAGAGAAAATGTTATAATCATTCAGTTAGTGTTACCCACATTCTATCCACATTTTTGTCTTGCCTTCCTCCTGTCCTCTCTGTCAGGCAAGCATGAAATGCTTCTATTTTATTTTAATTAATTAATTAATTGGTTATTCGTAGGGATTGAACTCTGGGCCTGGCCTGTCCCTCAGCTCTTCAGCTCAGGCAAGTGCTCTACCACTTGAGCCACAGTGCCACCTCTGATGGTTTATTGGAGATAAAAGTCTCACGGTCTCTCCCACCCAGGCTGGCTTTGAACCCTGATCCTCAGATCTCAGCCTGGTGAGTAGCTAAGATTACAGGCCTGAGCTACTGGTGCCTGGCTATTTTGTTTTCTTTTCGAGATAAGAAACATAAAACTTGGACTGGGAAGGTGGCTCAGTGGTAGAGTGCTTGCCTAGCACGCATGAAGCCCTGGGTTTTATTCTTCAGTACCACAGAAATAGAAAAAGCCAGAAGTGTTACGGTGGCAAGTGGTAGAGTGCTAGCCTTGAGTTAAAGAAGCTCAGGGACAGTGCCCAGGCCCTGAGTTCAAGCCCCAGGGCTGGCACAAAAAAAAAAAAAGGAGAAAGGAACATAAACTTTGATCTCCACTAAGCAACCACTTATTTGGTGCTTGCTATATAGGATACAAATACTTAAAGAGCACTGAGCTCAGACAGATCCAAGTGAAATCAAGGTCTCCCATTCTGCTTTCTAGGAAATGAGTTCACTCAACAACTATTTACTAAGTTGGTGGTGTGGCAAATGCTTCTTCTCTAGCTTTGGAGATAAGCCATACACCAGACGCTGTGCATGGTGCTAGATAAGCTACCATAGGGTGCTGGGCGTGTCCTGGGGATGGGGGCGGGGCGGGGTGGGGGGTGGGGGACTTGGGCTAGGCATGTAAAGGTAACACTGAGGTAAACGTTCGTGCTCTGCTCACAACCTAGAGAGTCTTAGTGTTGCTTAGATTCCTCTTGTATAACAGTAGCCCAGTCGTTTTCAAAGTTGAGCGGACAGCTCAAGAACAATCTAGAAGCCATGCTAAAAAACAACAGCAACAACAACAAGCTGCTGAATCTTACCCTCAGCATGTCTGATTCAATACTTGTCAATGTAAGGCTGAGACTCTCTGGAGCTTATGGAACCTTCTGTCTATATAAGAAAAAAAAAATCTCCCTTGGCTCCTAAATGCAGTTGAGATGATTATTGTCTAATATCCTAAAATTCCTGTTCCATCTTAGACATCAGCATTAGCTACCAATCAGGATTCCTGCTACCAAAATCTAAGCCTTGGGGAGACAAAGACTTAAATACCTCTGGGGATGCCTGGGGGGGGGGAGGAGATAGGATCCCATAGTTGGGAACGTTGGATTTGTCAGAGCAGTTGTGAAGGCTTGCTGTGTGCTGTTGCCTGACAGCATCAGTCTATGGGTGGCAGAGACAGGACGGTAAGTCAGGGCTGTCTGCACACAGCTCTGTGTATTTTTGTCACTGCAGAATGGAGTCTTAGGGACATGGCTAGCCACTTAATGCAAGGCGTGATGGTAGTTCAGTACTTGTTGGCACAGGCCACTGAATGGTATATTTATAGACCAAGGAGATATAGTCTTGAATTCTGGACACCCCTCGTTTTCTGTGTGGCATGGACATCATAGAAGGGAGGTGCAAATGGAATTCTAGGCTTCCATCAGAAAGAATGACACTGCCCCGTTCATAAGGAAATGGAAAGACTTGGAAAAAATTATACTAAGCGAAGTAAGCCAGACCCAAAGAAACATAGAATGTGCCTATAAATCTACAAGGAAAGCCAATGGGTAGTAAAAAAAAAAAAATACACATTTCACACCTGTAATCCTAGCTACTCAGGAGGCTGAGATCTGAGGATCACGGTTCAAAGCCAGCCCTGGCAGAAAAGGCCATGAGACTCATCTCCAATAAACTACTCAGAAAACCAGAAGTGGTGCTGTGGCTCAAGCAGTAGAGTGCTCACCTTGAGCTGAAGAGCTCAGGGACAACGCCCAGGCCCAGAGTTCAAGCCCCAATACCGGAAAAAAAGGGATATATATATATATATATATATATATATATATATGGGCATTATAAATTAAACAAGACTCTAAACATTCACACAGTGAGACCAACAGAGGATATTCTTAGGAGAGGATCACAAGGGGTCAATAGCTATGTGCATAAGACCATAAAAAATAACACTTATCAAAATGAACTCCAAGAAATGGAAACAATAGGTTTTTTTTTTTTACTTCTCATGATTTTTTTTTGTTTTCCTCCTTTTTTTGTTTTATTTCTGTACCTTTTGTCTTATATGTTTATCTGATTTGGGGAGGGGAAGGGGAAGCACAGAAATGGTTGGAACAAAGAGTGAACAAATTCAGCAGTGATACTCACTAGACACCATGTTGGAAATGAACTATACAACTTGAGGGGGAGAGGGATTGGAAGGGAAAAAAACTGGGATAAAATGAGGGAAGAGGTGACACTGATCAAAAAGAAATGTACTCATTACCTGACTTATGTAACTGTAACCCCTCTGTATATCACCTTTGGAATAAAAATTTTTAAAAAGGTACTAAAAGGATGAGGATATTTTATTGAGTAGTTGGAGGATGGCTGATCAGCCAGGCAACTGATAACATATTAATTAACTTGTAGTAGCAGAAGAGATAAATGAAAATCTCAATGTCTTTCTGTCTCTGTCTCTCTCTGTGTGTGTCTCTTGCGCTCTCTCTCTCTCTCTCTCTCTCTCTCTCTCTCTCTCTGATTTGTTTTCCAGTCCTAGGACTTGCACTCAGGGCTTGGACATTATCTCTGAAGTTTTATGCTACTTGAGCCACGGTTCCATTTCAGGGTTTTTGGTGGTTAATTGGATATGAGTCTCACGGACATTCCTGCCCGGGCTGGCTTTGAACCGTGATCCTCAGATCTCAGCCTCTCGAGTAGTTAGGATGACAGGTGTGAGCCGCTGGCCCCTTGCTTCTCTCTGTGCTTTTCTACCCTGGGTAGCTGAGAAAGTGATGGCAGGCCACGGGGAAACGCCCACAGAGGCAGCTCAGCGACACGGATCTGTAAAAGCCAGATGTCAGCACCCTGGAGCGGAAACCGAGGAGCTTCCTGGCACCTCCTGGCAGCTCCTTCATGCCACCTCGGTACCGGGCTTTCCCCTTTGGCCGTGTGCCAGGCACCTCCTCTACCCATCCTCAGAGGAGATGCAGCGCAGCAGGTGCACTGCGCCTCTCTGGTGATCTACCAAGAAACTGCTCTTGTTTGAGTGCCAGCTCCATTTTAAACCACAGAACACTGGCCAGGGGTAGATGTGGTGCTGCTGGTGGGGGGTGAGCCTCTTAATCATGCCCCCCCAAAAAAGTATGGAAGGTTTGTCTGTGACCCTTTGGCTGTCTGTTTGGTTAGTTGATGCTGGGGGTGGGGGAGCAGAATTTCTGCAGACTTCTAGAACTGGAAATCCAGCAGCATCACTTGTGTGACCCTGAACAAGTCAGTCACCTGACCTCTTTGAGTCTCACTTTTTTGCTGCTGTTGTTGTTGTCAGTTACAAGGCTTGAACACAGGGCCTGGGCGCTGTCCCTGAGCTCTTTTGCTCAAAGCTAGTGCTCAACCACTTTGAGCTGTCGTTAATTGGCGTGGTTAATTGGAGAGTCTGATGAGGACTTTTCTGCCCAGGCTGGCTTTGAACTGTGATCCTCAGATCTCAGCCTCCTGAATAGCGAGGATTACAGGGGAGAGCCACTCGTGCCTGGCTTGGCCTCAGTCTTTTCATCTGTAAAGCGGGCACTGTGTTGGGGTGAGGGGTCCTGCATCGTGCTGGAGCGCCAAGCTCTCCTCTTTCCATAGGACTTAATACAACAGCAACTTCTATATTGCTTCTTCAATGGATGCCCCATTACCCTCAAGTCTGATGGCAGAGGTCAAAGCTGCCGTGTTTTACATAGATACCAAGAGACAGTCGCATGGATCAGCTGCACAACAAATGACGATGTAGCAATCGTACAATTTCCGAGCCCAATAAAACGGTCTCTAGGAGGTGACCTCAAAACTGGAGCCATCTGCTGGTTCAGGGACCCCTATGCCAAAAGGAGACTTTAACCCAATGAGGGGTTATATAGTCTCACTTGGTTTAGTCAGACCCCAGGACAACAGTGCTAATCTTTCCCTTGAGAAACCTTCAGTAGAGTCGTTGCCAATATGGCTTTTTAAATTTTTAGCTAGTTCCTTCAACTCAGAAAGTACCCATGCGCCCAGCTGCCCAGTGTCGTGATCACAAACTGACCCCAAAGCTGACCACACACAGGAGACAGAGTGCAAAACCTAGCACCCAGCCATGAGAGCTAACCATGAACTCAGTAACTTCAGGGAATGCACGAAAGCCTCTAAAAAAGTTTCTAATAGCAAGTCAGGCACTGACTTTAACTATACACAGCTCTTTAACACATGGGCATTCATGTTTAGAAGCACACACATACACACACTCAAACACACACACACACAAAGCACTTTCCCACCAAATACAGGCCTCATTACAGCAATCGCTACCTGACTTTTAACATCAACAGCTTTACACATGAGTCCTCAGAGGTGCCTTATTTTCCCCCATGTCCCCGCAGAGACGAATCACACCCCTCCCCTGGGTGACTCGAGGTGGGTCCCCCTTTCCTTCTGCCAGGTTCTGTCCAGAGATGGCCCACCATCACTGGACAGCCCGCTGGCCC